GTCGTGGTAGTTGTGCCTGCAGCGAGGGTGAGGTATGATGCTACTGTAGTCGTGATGGTTCTCGTCATCGTCAGCAGTGGGCATGTCGTTGCGGAACCTGTAGTGGCTGCAGGGAGAACACCTCGAGTTACAAGCTGACTTAAATATATTGAGGTTGGGCTAGTGTAGATGATGGAGAGGGGCTGGGGACGTGTGAGTGTGTGTCCAGCAACATTGGGATCAACTCTCGCTGTTACTTGATTTTGCGTGATAGGTACATGGTGGGTACACCCTGCGGTTGCTACTACACTATGTTGTATTATAGTTACATGGTGAGAACAAAGGCTAGCGGTGCATCGGTGACATCTAAATCTGACATATTAGTTGCTGCTGTGGGTACTCACCTGAGTGTAGGGGTGAGTATGCAAATGAGTGTTGCTGTGGGTACTCACCTGTAAGAGAATATATAACAACATTCGTTATATCCATCACTATCTCTACCAGCATATTTCCTCAGACTTACACGGGACAAGACTTTGGAATCTCTGGTGCCTTTGTTCATCGTACTGATATATTAAAGTAAGATTCCTAAGACATTACAAAGTCATTCGCAGTTCCTTTCTATTTTGGGAGAGAGGACAAGAGTGTGTAAGAAAGGAATTGAGTGCCCATAGTGTAATAACTGAGTACTAAGAGTGACTTGAGAGAGAAGGATTGGAACAAGCTAGATTTAAGATCCTCTGGTACACGGAACAAGTGTTTGAAAAATGACAGAGACATATAGATTGCTACCTTTGTTCACCTAACAATCAGTAGGTACCTGTGTAAAGAATTAGACATACGTGCAACACCTGGGTATCTTTACTTGTAGACGTTTCGCCATCCAGTGGCTTTATCAGTACAATACCAAGACACTGTGTGAAGTATATAGAACTGTATACAAAAGCTGAAGTAATGAGTCCTTCAGCCTTGGAGTTGGTGAAGAACATTATAGTCTTAAAGAATCTGATGCGCAGCTTCAGATTCCGGGTGGAAGGATGGAGTGGAATAGGCTGAAGTTGGATAACAGCTCCTGGCCTGTAAAAGTGATCCATGTAAATTATCGTTCTTTTCGTAAGAGGAACATTAGAGTGAACATTCTCCAGATCATACATTTGGTGTCTTCGTTCGAGGCTGTTGGTTAATTTCCCTGAGGGTGTTTGCATACATGAATATAAGAGACGGTAGGAGTGGTGTAGCATGGTGTCTGGTGGTAGTGGTGGTGGTTAGCATGGTGTCTGGTGGTAGTGGTGGTGGTTAGCATGGTGTCTGGTGGTAGTGGTGGTGGTTAGCATGGTGTCTGCTGCTGCTGTGGTACTGCTGGTGGTAGTGGTGAAAGCAAATCTTGATGTCTACTGTGGTAACACCATCTCTGGAGGCTGCTTCACTGCTGCTGTGTACACTCCAGCAGTCTTAATGATTCCACCCATTACTCAGTATGTTGCCTAGTAATCATTCTCCCAATGTTTGTGTGTATCTGTGTGTGTGTGCGGACAACAACACAGGTTGTCTACACAAGTGTGATAGAGACTGTTGTCTACTGCCACACTGTGAGATTTCAAAAGCTCATCCTTCAGTCTGGTCAGAGTATGACCAGACATAAATGCACCGCCTCTCTCATCTCAGACCAAGGTAAGTATGCTTTACGAATGCAAATGAAGGAAGTTATATATCCTTGTCGGATATATATATATATATATATATATATATATATATATATATATATATATATATATATATATATATATATATATATATATACATATATATATATATATATATATATATTATATATATATATATATATATATATATATATATATATAGGTAGTAGGTTGGTAGACAGCAACCACCCAGGGAAGTACTACCGTCCTGCCAGATGACTGTGAAACAAAAACCTGTAACTGTTTTGCATGATGGTAGGATTGCTGGTTTCTTTTTTCTGTCTCATAAACACGCTAGATAACAGGGATATCTTGCTACTCCTACTTACACTTTGGTCACACTTCACAGACACGCACATGCATATATATATATACATACATCTAGGTTTTTCTCCCTTTTTCTAAATAGCTCTTGTCCTTTTTATTTCTTCTATTGTCCATGGGGAAGTGGAAAAGAATCTTTCCTCCATAAGCCATGCGTGTCGTATGAGGCGACTAAAATGCCGGGAGCAATGGGCTAGTAACCCCTTCTCCTGTATACATTTACTAAAAAAAGAGAAGAAGAAAAACTTTATAAAACTGGGTTGCTTAAATGTGCGTGGATGTAGTGCGGATGACAAGAAACAGATGATTGCTGATGTTATGAATGAAAAGAAGTTGGATGTCCTGGCTCTAAGCGAAACAAAGCTGAAGGGGGTAGGAGAGTTTCAGTGGGGGGAAATAAATGGGATTAAATCTGGAGTATCTGAGAGAGTTAGAGCAAAGGAAGGGGTAGCAGTAATGTTAAATGATCAGTTATGGAAGGAGAAAAGAGAATATGAATGTGTAAATTCAAGAATTATGTGGATTAAAGTAAAGGTTGGATGCGAGAAGTGGGTCATAATAAGCGTGTATGCACCTGGAGAAGAGAGGAATGCAGAGGAGAGAGAGAGATTTTGGGAGATGTTAAGTGAATGTATAGGAGCCTTTGAACCAAGTGAGAGAGTAATTGTGGTAGGGGACCTGAATGCTAAAGTAGGAGAAACTTTTAGAGAGGGTGTGGTAGGTAAGTTTGGGGTGCCAGGTGTAAATGATAATGGGAGCCCTTTGATTGAACTTTGTGTAGAAAGGGGTTTTAGTTATAGGTAATACATATTTTAAGAAAAAGAGGATAAATAAGTATACAAGATATGATGTAGGCGAAATGACAGTAGTTTGTTGGATTAGTATTGGTAGATAAAAGACTGCTGAGTAGACTTCAGGATGTACATGTTTATAGAGGGGCCACAGATATATCAGATCACTTTCTAGTTGTAGCTACACTGAGAGTAAAAGGTAGATGGGATACAAGGAGAATAGAAGCATCAGGGAAGAGAGAGGTGAAGGTTTATAAACTAAAAGAGGAGGCAGTTAGGGTAAGATATAAACAGCTATTGGAGGATAGATGGGCAAATGAGAGCATAGGCAATGGGGTCGAAGAGGTATGGGGGTAGGATTAAAAATGTAGTGTTAGAGTGTTCAGCAGAAGTTTGTGGTTACAGGAAAGTGGGTGCAGGAAGGAAGAGGAGCGATTGGTGGAATGATGATGTAAAGAGAGTAGTAAGGGAGAAAAAGTTAGCATATGAGAAGTTTTTACAAAGTAGAAGTGATGCAAGGAGGGAAGAGTATATGGAGAAAAAGAGAGAGGTTAAGAGAGTGGTGAAGCAATGTAAAAAGAGAGCAAATGAGAGAGTGGGTGAGATGTTATCAACAAATTTTGTTGAAAATAAGAAAAAGTTTTGGAGTGAGATTAACAAGTTAAGAAAGCCTAGAGAACAAATGGATTTGTCAGTTAAAAATAGGAGAGGAGAGTTATTAAATGGAGAGTTAGAGGTATTGGGAAGATGGAAGGAATATTTTGAGGAATTGTTAAATGTTGATGAAGATAGGGAAGCTGTGATTTCGTGTATAGGGCAAGGAGGAATAACATCTTGTAGGAGTGAGGAAGAGCCAGTTGTGAGTGTGGGGGAAGTTCGTGAGGCAGTAGGCAAAATGAAAGGGGGTAAGGCAGCCGGGATTGAGGGATAAAGATAGAATGTTAAAAGCAGGTGGGGATATAGTTTTGGAGTGGTTGATGTAATTATTTAATAAATGTATGGAAGAGGGTAAGGTACCTAGGGATTGGCAGAGAGCATGCATAGTTCCTTTATATAAAGGCAAAGGGGATAAAAGAGAGTGCAAAAATTATAGGGGGATAAGTCTGTTGAGTGTACCTGGTAAAGTGTATGGTAGAGTTATAATTGAAAGAATTAAGAGTAAGACGGAGAATAGGATAGCAGATGAACAAGGAGGCTTTAGGAAAGGTAGGGGGTGTGTGGACCAGGTGTTTACAGTGAAACATATAAGTGAACAGTATTTAGATAAGGCTAAAGAGGTCTTTGTGGCATTTATGGATTTGGAAAAGGCGTTATGACAGGGTGGCTAGGGGGGCAATGTGGCAGATGTTGCAAGTGTATGGTGTAGGAGGTAGGTTACTGAAAGCAGTGAAGAGTTTTTACGAGGATAGTGAGGCTCAAGTTAGAGTATGTAGGAAAGAGGGAAATTTTTTCCCAGTAAAAGTAGGCCTTAGACAAGGATGTGTGATGTCACAGTGGTTGTTTAATATATTTATAGATGGGGTTGTAAGAGAAGTAAATGCGAGGGTCTTGGCAAGAGGCGTGGAGTTAAAAGATAAAGAATCACACACAAAGTGGGAGTTGTCACAGCTGCTCTTTGCTGATGACACTGTGCTCTTGGGAGATTCTGAGAGAAGTTGCAGAGATTGGTGGATGAATTTGGTAGGGTGTGCAAAAGAAGAAAATTAAAGTGGAATACAGGAAAGAGTAAGGTTATGAGGATAACAAAAAGATTAGGTGATAAAGATTGAATATCAGATTGGAGGGAGAGAGTATGGAGGAGGTGAACGTATTCAGATATTTGGGAGTGGACGTGTCAGCGGATGGGTCTATGAAAGATGAGGTGAATCATAGAATTGATGAGGGAAAAAGAGTGAGTGGTGCACTTAGGAGTCTGTGGAGACAAAGAACTTTGTCCTTGGAGGCAAAGAGGGGAATGTATGAGAGTATAGTTTTACCAACGCTGCTTATATGGGTGTGAAGCGTGGGTGATGAATGTTGCAGCGAGGAGAAGGCTGGAGGCAGTGGAGATGTCATGTCTGAGGGCAATGTGTGGTGTGAATATAATGCAGAGAATTCGTAGTTTGGAAGTTAGGAGGAGGTGCGGGATTACCAAAACTGTTGTCCAGAGGGCTGAGGAAGGGTTGTTGAGGTGGTTCGGACATGTAGAGAGAATGGAGCGAAACAGAATGACTTCAAGAGTGTATCAGTCTGTAGTGGAAGGAAGGCGGGGTAGGGGTCGGCCTAGGAAAGGTTGGAGGGAGGGGGTAAAGGAGGTTTTGTGTGCGAGGGGCTTGGACTTCCAGAGGCATGCATGAGCGTGTTTGATAGGAGTGAATGGAGACAAATGGTTTTTAATACTTGACGTGCTGTTGGAGTGTGAGCAAAGTAACATTTATGAAGGGATTCAGGGAAACCGGCAGGCCGGACTTGAGTCCTGGAGATGGGAAGTACAGTGCCTGCACTCTGAAGGAGGGGTGTTAATGTTGCAGTTTAAAAACTGTAGTTTAAAGCACCCTTCTGGCAAGACAGTGATGGAGTGAATGATGGTGAAAGTTTTTCTTTTTCGGGCCACCCTGCCTTGGTGGGAATCGGCCAGTGTGATAATAAAAATATATATATATATATATAATATATATATATATATATATATATATAATATATATATATATATATATATATATATATATATATATAATATATATATATATATTGATGATGGGCCCAGAGCCTCGCATCAACTCGTGAAGACTCCATAAACACCGTCTTAGGATCAATCTTTTCAAGACTGATGGATTGATGACATCGACTCCAGGTTGAGGGACTGATTAGCTCAAAATCCTCATCCTCCTCATCTTCCATCTTTTTCTGCATTGGACTGAAGAAACCACTTGCTGGCGAAACGTTTCCACAATAAATATACCCCAAGTGTTGCACAAATGTCTAATTCCTCATCCTGTCGGTTCTCTGAACCATTTATCTTCACTGTCTCGGGAGAACCAGTTGACGAAATGACCAACGTACTCTGTAAGACTTTTAGCGTCCGTCTTCATATTTTGTTCTGCTTCTAAATGTAGATTTTTATAATTTCATCCTGTGAAGGGACGTGGTAGTGTGTTGTGTCTAGTTCAGAACTGACCCCCGGCACCCGGCACCCGGCTGCTGGCACCACATTCTTCTCTGTGCCACAGTAACAGGCTGAATGCTAGAAGGCTGACGGTGACCTCTTACCACTTTAGTAATGACTCCGTGTCCCTCTACAACGCTACGAAAATCCTGGACACGTAGCTTGAACAAATGACTTACGACCTGCATTACGTCACCCTACATGGCACTGCTCGGAACCGCTTCAGTTTCCCCCGAGGATGCACACACTGCCTGGGTTTTTTTTCTCTCATGGCGTAGCTTCAGTATTGGCAGCAGCCACTACGTTGTGGGTGACGGAGATTCATGTGGGGAACTGAACCTGTTGATCCAGTTCCTCGTATCAAGTCTGAGTGCCTTCCATTCCCCCCATCTCGGCGCTGTGTGACCTCCTATGAGTTATTATCTCCTCCATGAATATATAATAATAATAATAATAATAATAATAATAATAATAATAATAATAATAATAATAATAATAATAATAATTTAATATAATATAATATAATAACAATAATAATAATTAATAATAAATAGTCGATACCATGCCCAAGCCCATCTTAGGTAGGGTAGGTCTAAGAGAGTTGTAGCTCATAAGTACTTCATATATAATTATGGCCCCCTTGGGCGGGGATGAAGACCAGAGCAAGCCTAGCTGTGGCTTAGGCCGGGGCACTGTTGGTCTTCAAAGATGAGGGGGTACTTGTACCTCTTCCATGGGAGACTTAGGTCTCAGACACTCCCTAAAGGGAGCCAAGGCCGGGCCACCACTGGGAAAAGGCCCGGGCCGGGAGAATATTATTAATAATAATATTAATAATAATAATAATTATAATAAGAGAATAAACAGGACCCCCAAGACAGTAGAATCATCTCACACACGGGTTGGAGAGATAATGTCTCTCACACGGGGTAGAGTCGTGGGGAGATACTCATTTAGATTCCTGTGTCACTGTTCATTTCTTACAGACCAGAGCAAGCATCATGCCTCCTCCTCCCCCCCCCCCCCCGCTGAGTGCATGATTTACGCACCATCAGCAGTCCCCACAAAGTGTCATAACTCTGGCAATTAGTCCCCGTGTGAATGCATTAATCTAGACACTCACAGTCATAAATCTGCCGTACCCACCCACCCGCTCTACATCTATTGCAGTGTTGGTAGTCCAGCCTCCGAAATGGTAATTTATGTTTGTTGTACATACATGTTAGACTTCGTGTGATTCTGTCAATGAAAGGAATCATCTCGCATGGTGACAGTGATTGGAAAAAGGAAAGGTTTTTGGAAATTGAGGTGTGTGTGTGTGTGTGTGTGTTGTGTGTGTGTGTGTGTGTGTGTGTGTGTGTGTGGTGTTCTGTCGAGGCTGGTACTGTGTTTGCGTGTGTTTGCGTGTGCGGACTCACGTTGATACAGATGTACTCACTCTTTCTTGGAGGTGGCGAGGCACGGGACTAGCAGGACGAGGAAGAGAAGTGGTAGGAAGTTGGTCATGGTGGTGGTGAGGTTACTGGTGAAGGTGGCGGTGCTGGAGGTGACGGCACTGGGTGCTTGTGGTGGTGGTGGTGTTAAAAGGTAGTGGTTGCTGCTAGTTGTGGTGGTGGGTGGTATTGGGAGTAGTGCTGGAGCTAGAGATCAACACTCATCACAATATTCCTTCCTGTACCTCCCCAGTCTTCTCAGTACTCACGCCTCGGTACGACCTCCAGTCTACTACAATATCTTCGAGCCTTAAACACCTTCCCTCTGGACCTGTCCCTCAATACTTGAGCCTCGAGTGTCAGGTACAGACAATGAAAAGCCTGTCGGATTAACTCCTGAGCCTGACCGCTGCCTGAGAGACGTGTATCCTGACAGACGATATCTCGAGTGGGATGAGAAGGGCGACTGCCGGGAGAAGATACTGTGGGGCAACCAAAAACCAGAGCTACGCAAGCAGTGTGCAGACAACCAGCATCCACCTCATTATATACCCTCTCACACCCTCCTGGCAGCTGTAGGATAATTGCTTGCTTAGTTGAAGTTTAAAGCCTATCTACTACACGAGGGTCACTAAGGCTGCTTGTCACCTGCGCAACACCAGTCAAGAATACTGTAATCTCTAAAACCAGAAATGAAAGAGATTCTCAAGGTGTATATACACAAGAATATGTGAATAAGTGGTCTACAAATCCGACAAGTTGATAAATTGGGCAACATTTGGGGTATGTTTATTCTGGAAACGTTTCACCAGCCAGTGGCTTCTTCAGTCCAATACAGAGAAAGATGGAAGATGAGAAGGAGGAATTTAAGGTACTCGGTCCCTCAGTCTTGTCAAGATTGACGGACTAAAAACATCGACTCCAGTTCAGGGACTAACTACCTCAAACTCCTTATCTTTCAACTTTCTCTGCAGTGGACTGAAGAAACCACTGACTGGCGAAACGTTTCCAGAAAGAAAAGATTCCCAGATGTTGCATAAATGTCTCACACAGGGATACACACCCCTCTCAGTGTGTATCCCTGAATAGGATCTTCCTGTTCCATCCTATCCTTCTGCCAGTGGCAGGATAGGCGGACCTACATCTTGAGACCCTGAAGCTTGAACTGTTATTGGGTCCATGAAGCTTGAACTGTTATGGGGACCCTGAAGCTTGAACTGTTATGGGGTCCATGAAGCTTGTATTGGTCCATGAAGCTTGAACTGTTATTGGGTCCATGAAGCTTGAACTGTTATGGGGACCCTGAAGCTTGAACTGTTATTGGGTCCATGAAGCTTGAACTGTTATTGGGTCCATGAAGCTTGAACTGTTATGGGGTCCATGAAGCTTGAACTGTTATGGGGACCCGAAGCTTGAATTGTTATGGGTTCCTGAAGCTTGAACTGTTATGGGTCCCTGAAGCTTGAACTGTTATGGGGTCCATGAAGCTTGAACTGTTATGGAGACCCTGAAGCTTGAACTGTTAAGGGGACCCTGAAGCTTGAACTGTTATGGGGACCCTGAAGCTTGAATTGTTATGGGTCCCTGAAGCTTGAACTGTTATGGGTCCCTGAAGCTTGAACTGTTATGAGCGCCCTGAAGCTTGAGCTGATATGGGTCCCTGAAGCTTGAACTGTTATGGGGTTCCTGAAGCTTGAACTGTTATGGGTCCCTGAAGCTTGAACTGTTATGGGTTCTTGAAGCTTGAACTGTTATGAGGAACCTGAAGCTTGAATTGTTATGGGTCCCTGAAGCTTGAACTGCTATGAGGGCCCTGAAGCTTGGATTGTTATGGGTCCCTGAAGCTTGAACTGTTATGGGGACCCTGAAGCTTGGATTGTTATGGGTCCCTGAAGCTTGAACTGTTATGGAGACCCTGAAGCTTGAATTGTTATGGGTCCCTGAAGCTTGAACTGTTATGGGGTCCCCGAACCTTGAACTGTTATGGGTCCCTGAAGCTTGAACTGTTATGGGTCCTTGAAGCTTGAACTGTTATGGGTCCCTGAAGCTTGAACTGTTATGGGTCCCTGAAGCTTGAACTGTTATGGGTCCTTGTAGCTTGAACTGTTATGGGTCCCTGAAGTTTGAACTGTTATGGGTCCCTAAAGCTTGAACTGTTATGGGTCCCTGAAGCTTAAACTGTTATCGGTCCCTGAAGCTTGAACTGTTATGGGTTCCTGAAGCTTGAACTGCTATGAGCGCCCTGAAGCTTGAACTGTATGGGTCCCTGAAGCTTGAACTGTTATGAGCGCCCTGAATCTTGAGCTGATATGGGTCCCTGAAGCTTGAACTGTTATGGGGTTCCTGAAGCTTGAACTGTTATGGGTCCCTGAAGCTTGAACTGTTATGGGTCCCTGAAGCTTCAGCTGCTATGGGTCCCTGAAGCTTGAACTGTTATGGGTTCCTGAAGCTTGAACTGTTATGAGCGCCCTGAAGCTTGAACTGTTATGGGTCCCTGAAGTTTGAACTGTTATGGGGTGCCTGAAGCTTGAACTGTTATGGGTCCCTGAAGCTTAAACTGTTATGGGTCCCTGAAGCTTGAACTGTTATGGGTTCCTGAAGCTTGAACTGTTATGAGCGCCCTGAAGCTTGAACTCTATGAGTCCCTGAAGCTTGAACTGTTATGAGCGCCCTGAAGCTTGAGCTGTTATGGGTCCCTGAAGCTTGAACTGTTATGGGTTCCTGAAGCTTGAACTGTTATGAGCGCCCTGAAGCTTGAACTGTTATGGGTCCCTGAAGCTTGAACTGTTATGCGGTTATTGAAGCTTGAACTGTTATGGGTTCCTGAAGTTTGAACTGTTATGGGTCCCTGAAGCTTGAACTGTTATGGGTCCCTGAAGCTTGAACTGTTATGGGGGCCCTGAAGCTTGAACTGTTATGGGTCCCTGAAGCTTGAGCTGTTATGGGTCCCTGAAGCTTGAACTGTTATGAGCGCCCTGAAGCTTGAACTGTTATGGGTCCCTGAAGCTTGAACTGTTATGGGTCCCTGAAACTTGAACTGTTATGGGTCCCTGAAGCTTGAACTGTTATGGGGCCCTGAAGCTTGAACTGTTATGGGGGCCCTGAAGCTTGAACTGTTATGGGTCCCTGAAGCTTGAACTGTTATGGGTCCCTGAAGCTTGAACTGTTATGGGTCCCTGAAGCTTGAGCTGTTATGGGTCCCTGAAGCTTGAACTGTTATGGGTCAGTGTCATTGATATCAGTGTTACTGATGTCAGTTGCACTGATGCCGGTGGCATTGATGTTAGTGTTACTGATGTCAGTTGCACTGATGCCGGTGGCATTGATGTCGGTGTTACTGATGTCAGTGTCACTGATGTCAGTGATTGGTGGCTACGTCAGTAGGTTCTCGGGAAGTCTCAGCAGGGACACTAACGAAGATATTCCTCGCCAGGGGTATCCTGCGACCTGCTAGTTGAGATATCCTTGTGGCCGGTAGCCAGGATATCCCAGGTATCGACGGGATATCCTGGGATTGCGGTGTGTAAGACTGGTGTCTCGTAGCTGAGTTGGTGACGCACTCAGCTCACACACTGAGGCCCATGGTTCGATCCCCGGAGCGGCTGGGAACATTAGGACATATTTCCATAAGAAACCTCTTGTCCATGTTCACCATCAGTAAAATAGGTACCTGGGTGTTAGTCGACTGGTGAGGGTCGCATCCCGGGAACAAAATTAACCTAAGTTACCCAAATGCTTCGCATAAACGGGCTTTCTGTATAGTAAGCCATTAATGTCAGCTATGGTCTGTATAAGTTGTATTATGTACTCGTAGAAATAGAGATTATTATTATTATTATTATTATTATTATTATTATTATTATTATTATTATTATTATTATTATTATTGCAAGGAGGATGTGTGGAGTGGCTGGGAGTTGAGGATAGACGTTACTTAAGTTGAAAAGGTAATAACAACAAGTGGTGCGCATCCTGCACGACTCTTGACGTACCGCTGGTCCAGAGGTGCAAGATTCTCATAACCTGTAATGTACGACCCCTGAGAGTCACCATACGTGTCGTATACATGTGATAAACAGCATCTCTACCAGAGTAATGGTCTGGTCTCGTGTTTTGAAATTGGTCTTGGTGCCTCGAGACTGGACTCGTTGTCTTGAAACTGGTCTCAATGGCTCGAGGTTGGTCTCATTTGATTAGAGGCTAAACAGTTTCAGTGGATCGAAGGACCTGGGGAGACATGACAACGATGTATGAGATACTAAGAGGACAAGGACAGGGACGGATAGTGACACAGTGACTAACAACAGTCCGTAGTCCAATACTAGGCGAGGTAATGACTGAACTAGACCCTGAAGTAATCAGCTCTAATCTATCCTTCCCTGCCTTCTGGCAGAACGAACGACTTGGGGAAAACATAAGTCACTTTCCCGTTATCTTCTGACAATTTCTCGTTTCAGCTGCAGTTCTGAAGAGGACTGGATGATCGCTGATCGGTGCTGGTGGTGTGTTCTTCGTCAGAAAAAAAAAAATGGCCGAAGATCTACTGACTTCGGGGTCGTAGCTACATGAAGACTCGGTGGAGCTTCTGGTCCTCCGAGCGAGAGTCTTCGCTTGCCACACTTGTGTTTACCACAAAGGTAAACCACACAGCCGTCTAATAGGATATATTTTGATGTGATTGTGAAAGATACGGCTTGTGTTGGCTGCCGACCTTGTGGGATTAGCAGCTGAGTTCTGGCTATTAATTCTGGCTAAGTGGAGAAGCTTGAGATTATTTAGGTGAGTGACAGGAGAGCCACTGACACCTCGCAGGTGCTGAAGACTCCGCTGAAGTGACACATCCTTCAAAGAAAGGTGGAGGCTGGAGGTAAGTAGTGTTAAGTGGGGGTTCTTCCTTATACACAACACCGAGAAGGGATGAACAGCGCCTCACTCACCCTACTTACAGTTTCCTTTTCAAGACACCTGACAGATCCTCCAAGTAATTCCTGCTGACCAAGCATTCTGGAGATATCTGGGAGACTGCTAAATTGTTATCGATTATTCTGAGATATACTCCCCAGGAGATATCTACGTTACTCATGCTGTGAAGATAGACGTAAAGTGGTGTTCGGGTCACGGCAGGTCAAGGATGTATACTCTAGGAGTGTGCAGATCTCTGCTGCCAAAAACAATGTCGCTGTTATTAAGGTGGAGTGTGAGGTGCGTCGAGGGTCAGCCAGTGGCTTCATCAGTCCACTGCAGAGAAAGGTGGGAGATGAGGAGGAGTTTGATGTAGTCAGTCCCTCAGCCTGGAGTCGTTCAGTTAATAATATTATCAGGCCAGTGTTCACCAATGTGTGGTTGCACTCACCTACATGAGACTGCAGGGGTTGAGTGGTTGCACTCACCTACATGAGACTGCAGGGGTTGAGTGGTTGCACTCACCTACATGAGACTGCAGGGGTTGAGTGGTTGCACTCACCTACATGAGACTGCAGGGGTTGAGTGGTTGCACTCACCTACATGTGACTGC